GACAGCTTTTGGGAGCGCAAAACAGAAAACAAAACTGTCGCGGCCGCAGAACAAAATTGGTTCCCGACCGACAAAAATCTAATCTATATTTAAACTAAATCGACGAAAGTTTGGCGAAGGAATTGATAGGCATTTCTTTTTCGACGGCGTCGTCGTCGACGACGACGGCGACGGCGACGAAGTTCATCGTGTCATCGACAGCGCTGTCAGAAGAATTGGCACAAGAAGAAACGAGGGAAAAGTGTCGAAAATTAATAAATTAGAAAATTATATTTTTAGTGCCGCTTCCTTCTCCCATTTTCGGCAGCCGTTTTATTATTATTTGTCATAAAAAGTTCGCCGTCGTCGGGAAGATAAGAATTGCACTTCCGCGAAGTGCCAAAACTGGATAGACACTTTCCTATCCCCCCACCCCTCGGCCGTCGAATCGAGCATTCTGAAAGAGCAAAAACACGGAAGATTGGCAGAAGAAGCAACATAGTGCCCTGTTTAATTGTTATGTAAATCATTTCCACCGCGGGCTGCTTTTCACGAAACGTGTCGATTCTATGATTTACGATCGCCGGATTGGTTCCCGAAAATGAAAAAGGGATCACGTCAGCCCTGACGATTCGCTTCTGGCTGCTCGATGATGGCCTCATTTCTGCCCGAATGACAGTTTAGTCAATCTCACGTCTCACGCCTACTACGTTCTGATTTTTCACTTCGCCCTGAACCACTCGATCATCATATCCGAAAGACAGAAGCACTCTTCCCATCATCCACCAGCACCGCGCCGGCGAGGAATACATTAAAAATTAATTTAAAAGCTATTGATATGTTGATTAAACATGATTAGGCAAGAGTTTATGGTGGCATTTCTGGCTTTCCGTCTCACCGCGGCTGCCGCGGCGTTTGACACTTTTAAACTTCTGTCCCGGTCGTCCGATTTTATTGATGCCCTTCCTGCGTCCTCCCGGTGTAGCTTTTCTAGACACAGACGGACAACCACCGGCCTAGAGCAAGAGCGCCCGAGCACTCTTAAAGGCCATAAAACGGTTTTCAACCGAGGCAGCAGCAAAAAAGAGAACTCTGTGATTGATACTTTTTACTGCTTCTCTTTTCCTGGTTCAGGTTTCGCTTAAGCCGTTCAACGGCAGCAGAAGCAGTATCAATAATAATCGAAGATCGTCACTCTTGGCTTCTGCGGCGCGAGTTTGGGGTGGGAGCTCACAATAGCTGTCAAAATAGATCCAATTACAATAAATGTCAACTCGCGGAAGATCTCGGCTGCGGAGTTTTTGGGGTCGCGCCACTCCTGCCACCCTGAGTGGATGAGTGGATTCGTGATCTGTCAATCGAAGAAGGAGTTGAAAATCATTAGCAAAGTCCCCGCTTTTCGTTCCTTTATGGCGTTGAATTTTGAACTGTCCATCAACGCGCGTCACGCGTGACCATGACCGTCTCGATCGAAGCCCCCTCTCACACTCGTCGATCGATCAATGCACACATACACTCATTCAGAGTCTGGATAATGAGCGAGCATGAAGTAATGATCCTCCGGCTTTCGGATGAGAAGAGTAAATACGGAAAAAAAATGATCGCACTGCCAGAAACAGGTTCCACGCCGCCCGAAGCCTGATTTTTATGAGCTCCGAGAAGCTTATGCTCAGAGTCTCCTCACCTCCTTGGCCAGAGTGAGCAATAACAAATAATAATCATCATTCGGAATCTGCGGAGGGAAAAAAAAGTTGCAACTACCGCTTGGTGTTGTTGTCGTTGCACTGTCCTACCCCTCGTCGTCGATGCTCGATGACAGCGGACCGCACCGGTGCCTCCTGTGATGCAGCGGTTGTATCGCAGCGACATCTTTCGGAGTGTGTAGGCACTGAAGGGACGACCATTCGCGCGTGTCACGCATAAGAGCAACTGTCATTACCGCGCGCCGCACGGAACTGGTTCCCGTAATTACAGGCTAACACACTCAATATCGATGACATGCGACACATTGGCAGAAGAGAGGACTTGTCAACCTCGACGGACATGCGGCGGCGGCGACGGAAAAGCAGTCACATCATTTTTATTAATAGCCACTCAATCAGCGGTGCCATTTCTTGCGCGCACGATCCATTTGCGACCACGGAACGGGTTCGTGTTCTACAGCCGTATCCCAGAACCGCACCGCCCCTCCCGAGGTCGTCTCCGTTCCTTATGATTATGATTGCCAGCGCAATGCAGCGGACCCGTTTGTCGATATGAAGAAAAATGATTTACTTTCAAATGTCATTACACATCACCGCAGTCAGGTTTGCGATTTTCCTCCGCGCACCGCACATACTTTTGTTTACTTTTTCCCCAACCAATCCACCCAACCAGATGAAGGTTAATCTCGAAATAATTGAACGGCCCTTTTTCCTCCGCACGTCGATCGCGCAGCAGGCGGGAATGGAACTGTCACACCGGTCCTCGTCAAATGCCAGGTCGCTCTGCACGCTAATGACAACCGATGTTGCACCCACCTCTCCGACAACAAATTGACAGATCGACAAACAAACCCCAAATGACACCGCCGCTTTCGCTGGCTGCCACTTAATAAACATGTGAAATTATCATTATTATCGTCGTCGTCGTCGTCGTTGTCATCATCGTCATCGCCGCTGCAGCCCGTATATTCAGTTTGTTGTATGCAAATTATCACTTGCCGGATCGGCACAGTTCAATTATCTATTTGTCATATCAATTATTTCCACTTTGCACGCTTCCTCTTCCCTACTCTGCTGCTGCTGAATTGTTGCCACACCATGCCAGCAAGCGAGGCGTCGGCGGCGAAGAATGTGTGACAAATTCGATTTCAACATCGGCGGCACTTCACTTTCGACTCCGACCGAGAATCAATGAACCGTGCAAATCTACAATGGAAAGTGAAAAAAAAAAAGAAACAAGTGCAGTCATGCAACCGCTGTCACACTAATTTGACAGCGCGCGCTGCATTCTCGCCCTGTGTGTTTCTCTCTCCCCGACAAGTGTCATCGCACGGGCCTTAACCTCTGCTAACCGCGCAGCGATGCACAGAATTCACACATTCCTCCGACTTTGATTTATTTCTGTGAATATACGCGAGATGCTAATTAGTAATAAATACGTGTGAACTGCACCTTTTGTGTCCTACCCCTCGCCTGCTGCACTGAAACAATACCAAGGCATCTCTCGCCATGTTCGCAGACGAGCGATCATCACAACGATGATGATGATCATATCGATGCTTAAACAATTACTCTTGACGAGGGCTAAGCAGGCGCTAATCAGCTCCCGATTCAAGATGGCGGCGGCTGGTGGTTGACAAGTCACTGCATCACTTTGACAGCTCCGCCTAATCACCTTTCTCTGCCTGCGCCGATATTATGTACGTCGTAGCGGGAGAAAATCAGCGAAAGAAAGCGAGCCGAGCGAAACAAAGCCTGCCATGACGATGTTTACTCACTCACTCACCGTTTAAACGGGTTAGAGCGCCGCGCCGTATCCTTGCCGACGGGCGAATGCAATTATTTCTCATTACTTATTCGCCTTCTCCAAACATCACGCTCGTGTTGCTCCCGCTTGAGCAGCCAGCCACCACGGGGAAGAAAAAGGCCGATTCCGTGCACCGGAGCTCTGCGGAGGGCCGCCAACCACTTCGCACCCCCCCCCCCCCTCAGCTGATCGATTACACTCATTTTCGTTTTAATTTTGCTACTCGGCCCTACTACACCTTCCGAGCAACGGCCGGGCCCCGACAGGCAAAAATCGAATAAATATTTAATTTAATCTCATTTCTCTTCATTTACCTTTTGCTCGTTCGGCTGGCAGCCTCCGTCCGAAACCCTAATAGTTTCATTCAATTAGATTCCTATATATATTTCCTGGCACCGAAACAGAAGTCCTCTGTCGTCCCGTGAGACGGTAACCCTTTCCTATCCGCCCCTTTTCCTTAATTTACGACGCTCACTGGCAAACTGGCCAAATCAATAGCCTCCAGAAATGCACTGCTTATGCTCACCACAACAAGCGCAAAGATTACTAGATTATACCTGAAAAGACAAACGTCATCTATTATTCACGCCGGGTACCGAAACGCCATCTACTGCACTGCACGGCTTACTTTGTTTACCCAAAGCGCCGACGGAAACTCGTCATAAACATAACCTCATTCTGTCCCTTTGCGCCCGATTGCAGCAGCATGATCGCGTCGCCTTCGTCGCCGTCGTTGATCAGTTTAAAACAAACAGGCCTAACCTAAGAATGACAATCCATTTACGCCCGCGGCATTCGTCGGCGACGACGACCGACGCCGGGACATCTAAATCACATTAACGCTTCAATCAATCAAATTTCCGGCCTCTATTGGGGAACCGGGAACGTGTCGAACCCGGTCCACGCCCGGCCAGAGGAAAGCGCTGTTTATTTTTATTTTATTGAAAATATCAATTTAATTTGTCTTATCTTTATGGAACCTACTACGGTCCCGGACGGCTGCCTGTTCGCACCCAGCCAGAAGTCACCATAAACAGATTCCATTTCCGTCTTCCCGGGCCGTAAACAAATAAAAAACCCTGAAGTCAAAGCAACCTGGATGACATTCTGAAATGTTGTTTACGCTTCTTTTTCCCATGAAATTTGTCGTGATCAACGAGCAGAAAAAAAGTCAAATATTTGATTAAAGGCAAACAATTAATCGAAAAAATAGATTGAATCACGCAACGAAAACATGTGTTTGATCCGATGCCTGAAAAATTTCTCTTCCCGGGCCCGACACGGAGGAGAAAAAAAAATCATCCACCGTCAAAAACTGCAACTCATCCCTTATGGCGCTCACTCAACACGATCGGGCGGCTAATGCTCTCTTGCCTCATTACACTCACACCCCTCTGCGTGAACGAAACGATAAAAAATTGATACCCGCACTTCCCAAAAAAAAAAAGCAAAAGCAAAAGCAAAAAGCTAACGAATCCTATTTCTCTCTCTCTCCTCCATCTTTTCCACAGATCGATTATAGATACGAACAGCAACAGCAGCGCAAACGAACAACATGACACCCATCATCAGCCAGCTGTTGCACGGCTAGGCCGTCCCCATCTCGTAAATTCCCATCGAATCGCCCCTCGAAAATCCCAGTCGATTGAACCGCAAAGCCCTCCCCCCTCCAAACAATCGCGCCCAAATGGTTATGTCGCCAAGTAGACGACTATCATCGCCAGGAATCGCCACGCATCCGATGAATATGCATTTGAGCTCGCTGCAACACTCCCAGCTGCAATTGTCCTCTCAAATGCATCAGAAGTTGGCCGCCGGACTGACGCCGAATCATATGAGTGGATTTTTCAAGAGTCCATCCACCTCACCCAGCAGCGCCAATGCTAATATGAGCAACCACAACAACAATAACAACAATCACCATCACAGCAGCAATAAGTCCCAGAGCAACGGTAACAATAATAGCAGCAGCAGCGGCAGTGGCAGTAACAACAGCACACCAACCAGTATGCCATCGGCAACCGAACTATCGTCGCACCCCTTGAACCGCCTGCAATCGATGCAGCCGTTCGACTTTCGCAAACTGAGTGCAGCAGCCGCCGGGTTGAGCGCCTTCACAGCTGGCCTTCCGCCACCGAGACTCAGCCCGGAAGCAGCCGCCGCGCAGCATCACTTCAACCAGCAACATGCCGCTGCCGCCGCAGCCTACTCTCACGCTACGGCCAAACGTCGCGACTCGCAAGCTTCCGACTCATCGGTAAGCTCACGCGAACACGCCGCCGCAGCTGCAAACTTCATGAATCTCACCATGGGCGGGCATGGGCTGCCGTTCTCGATCCCGCCACCACCACCCCCATCTTCGGTCGCCATGTCCCTGGCCAACTCCCTGAACCACTCGGCCGCTGCCATGGCCGCCGCCGTTTCCGGTAATCCCCTTGCCGCCAGTTTCGTAGCACAGTCCTTCCCGAATCTGCTGGCAGCGTCGGCGGCTCGCGAACAAGCTCGCAGCAAGTCACCTCTATCCTCGCACCACAAACTCCAGCACAAGCAGGATAAATCTTGCGACAAATCGGACCACGAAAAGAACCACCATTCCAGCAGTGGTGAGAATGTCCTCAACCTCAGTCGGGATCTAGCTGCACAGCACCTAGCCCGCCAGGGCATTCCCGGTCATGTCAGTCGGCTTGCCGCTGGCCTTCCGCCAGGAGCGCACCTCAAGAAACCCCAATCGCCCAACAAACGCCAGTGGGGAGCTCTGCCTCCCAACCTGGGTACCCAGTTTGTCAACCCAGCGACCGGCAAGAAACGAGTCCAGTGCAATGTCTGCTTCAAGACCTTTTGTGATAAGGGTGCCCTGAAGATCCACTTCTCGGCCGTTCACCTTCGCGAGATGCACAAGTGCACCGTCGAGGGCTGCAGCATGATGTTCAGCTCCCGGCGGTCCCGCAACCGTCACAGCGCCAACCCCAACCCGAAACTCCACTCGCCACACCTCCGGCGGAAGATCTCCCCTCACGATGGACGCAGTGCTCAACCCCATCCCATCCTGCTCCCATCGGCCGGAATGCCACTACCCAACGGTCTGAATCATCTCCATCCGTTTGCACCGTTCCCGTTCCCACCGGGAGATATGCGTCACCCATCGCTCTCGGCCTTGGAGTTCAAAGCCAATATGGAAGCTAGCATGCACCGTCGCCTGCAGGAACAGGAAAAACATCGCGAAAGCCAGCGGCAATCGCTCAGTCCGGAGAACTACCGTTACCGTAGTCCACTGGGCGGTGATTCGGACAAATACCTCTCACCTGGCGGTCACCATCTCAGCGTCGGTGGCGGCAGCTCCATCGGTAGTCACCTGGACGATGACGACGACGACGATGACGATGATCCCAACGGAATCGTTATCGACGGAAACGACGATGACGATGACGTCGAACATGGCTTCGACATGTCACTCAGTTCGGAATCGGAAGATGTGAAATCGTTCCGCCATTCGGGAACTCCTGAAGCGGACTACGAAAACGAGCGACTGCGTCACGAAGAACGGCGGCGATCGACGGACGGTGGCGATGAACCGCAGGATTTTAGCTTGACCAAGCTGAAGTCGGAGAAGCTATCGGTTTCGAGCGACGGAGACGAAGTGGCGAGCAACGTGGACAGCAATGAAGATTCGTCGGTGAACGATTCGCACGTGGCATTGATGTCGATCAACAAGCGAAAACGGAAGAGCATGAATCCAACAAAGTGTGCAATTCCACTGGAGAGCATGTCGACCGGATCAGGTCACATGTCCGACGAGAACGACGACAAGGAAGCAGAAGATGAAGAACAAGCCGAACCGTTGATCAAGAAGATCAAGGTGGAACAGGAGCAACAGGAAGAAGCTTTGTCGCTGGTGAATGATAAACGGGACAGTTCAGTATCGCCAAAACCCAACGGCGAAAGCAATCACGTGGACGACGATGACAACGACGAGGACGAAGAGGAATCACCTGTGACGATCAAGTCGGAACCGAGTGAGCATCAGGATGAGGCTGAGAATCTATCGCTGGATCTGTCGAAGAAGCGTTCGACGCCGGACGTTAACGCCAATGAAAAGTTTACCAAATATTCGATAGATGTCAAGCCGGCTTCTGAGTTAATGGCGAACCCAATGTCGCTGGTGCGCCCAAAGAAGGAAAACGAGGCTGATCCGGAAGCGGAAGATCTTCGCCGACCGGGTTCCGCCGACAGCAAAAAGAGCGGCGAGAGTCTGGATTCGGCAAATACGTTGCGGCGGTTGGAGAACTTGTCGCACGGTCCGCTGAACGAGATGATGATGCAACGAGGTGGCCTGCCGCAGTTCCCTCCGTTGAGCTATCTCATGAATGCTGCCCCACCAAGTCCGGCAAGATCGAGGAGTACATCGCCGAATCCTGCCGGCAGTCCTCATCATCAGCAGGACATAGACTCCGATGACAACGTAGACTACTGTGAAGAGGGTAACTGCTTCAACGATCCCAATGTACCTCTCGATAAAGACCCAAAGAAGTGCTCCGCCTGTGGTCGGATGTTCCAGAATCACTTTGCCGTGAAAGCTCACTATCAAAACGTGCACCTGAAACTGCTGCATAAGTGCAATATCGATGGCTGTAATGCGGCGTTCCCTTCGAAGCGTAGCCGCGATCGTCATGCGTCCAATCTGAACCTGCACCGGAAGCTGCTCTCGACCAGTTCCGATAGCAGTGAAACTGTCCTTCCCATGGAGAAACAATTTCCATCATTCCCCGGTCCATTGCCGACGGAATTCCTCGCCCGACTGTACGCCGATTCGCAGAAGTTCCCCATGAACTTGGAAGCCTTCAAGAACCACCTTCCCAATGCTGGAGCCTACGCCGAGCACTTCCTCAATGGTGGAGGTCAACGGTTCCCTCCGGCAGCGGCCAATCCGTTCCTGTTTCCCCCTTTGGGAGGTTTGGGTGGATTCCCAGGCCTGTCGCAGTTCTCCCATCTTCTCCCGCACCCCCTGAACGGTATTTCGTCGCAACTGGCCGGTGGCCGAATGTCCCGCTCGGATTCTCCCATCTCAGCGTGTTCGCCGCCGACCTCTAGCAGCAACATTCCATCGCCACGGTCCCACCATCAGGATCAGCAGGACCAGCACTCGGCTGCGGTGGCGGCGGCTCTGCTGAGCCGGAACCGCTCGCCCGCGGCCACACCTGCCGAGGAAGCCCGCAAAGGGCAGCGGACGCCCGACTCCCTATCGTGACCGCCTACGCCGACAAACTCGCTGGAATCCACGAGCATCTGGTGAATCCGGCTCTAATCTAAACATAAACTAGACTTAATTGATGCGCAGCGCGCAAAGCAATGTTATCTCTCTCTCGATGGCTCTCTTTCCGAGCAATGAAGCAATTTGAGAATAAAGAAAAAATAAAGGAAAACAAAACACGGCCGATAGAAATTAATTCAATTTATTGAGCCGATTGATGGGTGGACAACGCAAGAGGAAATTCCCCCGTCTCTCTTCGTCTGTCTCATCTTGAAAAGAAAACGTGATCTCGTTTGACTCTCTTTTTTTATTATTTTGTAATTAAACTTATCGCGTAAATTAGGTTCTGTTTATCTGGACTCTTTTTTTTACTATTTCGGAAGCGGCAAACTGAAAGTGAACCATCAAAACAGAACCAGTAGCCGCTGGAGTAAATTGAGGTTAGAGACATAAATCACACTTTACTAAAGTGCCCAGTGATATAACTTTAATTAATTGATTATTTTCGACGCTAAAAGTCTATTTTCCAAGCAAATAAAAAAAACGAGTGGAGAACCCCGGTTATTGCCAGCGGGACTCAATTCTTTCGGTGTATGGGAGAAGCGGGACAAAATCTGATTTCGAATAATTTGTTTACAATTAGAATTACGGAAGAATTTTTTAGAGAAAAAAAAACTAACATTCAAACACAGAAAAGTAGCTTTTGTAAGGCCGTAAGTGTAAGCTTCTCCAGTTCCTAAACAGAAAATCTCTGCTATCTTAATTAGCCCATGTGTAATTTATGCCCAAAAACAGCAAAAGCAAACTGATCAACGAAGAAATGATATTCATTTTATGATTTTTTTTTTGTTCACAAATAAGTACCTATTTTTTAAACGAAAAGATTATTTCATCAAAACTGTCACCAACACCAAATTCTTCCACGAACTAAACCTAGTATTTAAGTGTGCAAGAGGTCAAACAAAATCCTAGCGAGCAAAGAAAACAAAGAAACCTATCGAGATAATGGTGGAAAACGAAGAAACTCTGTAGTTTAAGCATTGCGGTAAGAAGCAAGTGGAGCGAATCTTTTCATTTTTTGTACCTTAACTATTTTTTAGAAGGCATGTCAGCTGCATGTGGAAGGTAATGCAACTGCAAAAAGGAATCAATAATAAAATGTGCAATATGTTCGTCCTCTTTTGTGCTCTAGATAAATGATATAGTCTCTTAGGGTAGTTGTAATGATACGCATAGTTACAATACTTTCACAATTTTAGCGGTTAAGACAGCAAGAATACAAAAACCAAGTAGATTTTATCAGTCTAAAACAATGATAAAAAAAAGCATGAAACATATGATAAACAAGATTTTACTCTCTAGGCAAAATGAGATCAAAGCAAAACACATAAACCCCCGTAAATTCTGTAAATAGTCTATTATAAATATTGAACTATAAAGGCGTAGATAATTACAGCAATTGATATTAAAGGCTAAGCGAAGCATCATTCTAAATGAAGCTATCCACGTCACACAAACACACTCGACACAGAAACAAGTTACACAGTAATGTAAAAATAGGCATAAAGCAAAACTTATCCACATGAAGAAAAAAAAAACAAAAACAAATGCAAGTTAAAATATCAAAAATATCAATAATTATACGAGCAAAACAACCAAGTATCAAAATAAGGTAACCATCGCTGAAATTCTCAACCCACACACTCACAGAACATGTTTAATTTGTTTCCGTTTTTAAGCAACTTGTTGGAAAAATGAACCTTAAACTGACACGTGCAACGCCACAAGCTGTCAAAATTTGCGACATATTTCTATCAGTTTTTATGATAAAAATCCAATTTATATTTATTTTTAAAGTGTCACTCCCCCTCTCTCTCAAAACGCTCGCCTGCGAGCACAAAAAACCCTCCCGATAAAAATGTGAAAATAAATTATTTTTATTATTACAAAAAAAAAATAACGAAACCATGTTTTCCTACTCTGATGACACGACTATCCCTTGGTTTCCTTGAGACCTACGAATCGTCGCCGTTTTCTCACGCAGCAGTAGCAGCTTATGTTTTACCATAACAACGATGACGACGACGACGGTGATTGTTCGGTTCGCGCATTCCGCCTCTCTCTCTTTGTCTGCTCCTCCTTCGCTCGCTCGCCGCGATCACAACTTCATTTTGTCACGCTTTGTTCCGCACAGTCCGCTCTCGATTTGTGTTTCCTTCCGCATTTGTATGCGATTTTCTCGAAGCTGTCAACCCCGTCAAGGTCACCGTGCGCCTGTGTGAGTGATCGATATCAGCTCCGAAGCGGGTTTTATTCCCAACTCACAAGCAAATAAACACCAAACATTCCTTCGACACACAGCACAGCCAGAACCTTAACAACTCCTTCCACTATCAAGCAGTGTCACTTTCGTGCAGTGCGCATTCTTCAAACGTCATCTGTATTACAAATAATGTTCCCGCTGACGACGACGACGATGGTGACGGGCGGCGTGACACTTGACAGCTTGAAGCCTACTATGATGATGATGAGGACAGTCCTTTATTTCTCTCTCGCTCTCTCTCTCTCTCTCTCTCTCCCTCCCCAGCTCCTGTTCGTTCGTTTCGTGCCAGTTGATGGAATCACGTTCCTTTTCGGTCTTTTCGGTGTTTCTTCAGCGGACAAATAAAACTAAAGTTCCGGAAAGGGTTAAGAAGAGTTCGATTATAACAAAGAAATAAAAATATAAGCGAAGGGAAATCAGAAAACGAAAGGATTGATTGGAAGTCTTGTGGCTGTCACACAGAAGCGGTACTTGATCCGTTTTTTTCTTCGCCGCCGTTGTTGTTTTCGTCGTTCCTAATCAAGAACAAATCAGTTTCTGGCCGAAAAATATCAAGAACCGACAAAGAGAGGCCGAGTGACAGTTTATGTATTTCGAAGGAGGAAATAGCGCCAGTATGGCGTGCCAGTTGATGGCTTACAACGCAGAAGGATTCGTGGAGGAGTTGCGAACTGACAGTGACAGTGCCGTCTTGTTACATGAAAGACTTTGATGGCAGAAAGGGGGAATTCAAACACTTCCAAAGAGCAAAAAAGGTCAAAGTTTCAATGGGGAAATATTAGTTGCGCACAAGTGACTAGCAGTTAGCGGATGTAATCATGTTATGTGATGTAATCCAATGTAGAGTACACCAGACGAGTTCGAGAGGAAACGTCAACCAAACCGCTTGTTTACATCAGAATAAGGATTTTTCTTAACGCAAATTAAAGCATTTTTCATTAAACCACTTGCCAATTTCCATCAGTAATTGTCTTGTTTTACGATTTCCCACAGATCTGAACTAGTAACATTTAGAAACAGTTGCTCAATAGGTACAAAAAACATATAGTTCACACTCTGTTGCACCAAAGTTTTAAGACACATAATGTTTTATGGAACTCTCATTCAACAAACACAACACAAGTTAGATTTGTTGCTCAAGTGTTTCATACAATATCACGTAGCATATAACTTCATACCAATTTGTGGGTAACATGTTTGCTCCTCCCATTTGAGGCATGATTTGACAGGTCATCCAAGCAGTAAATTGAAACAGTTGAGTTTCATTATTGTGACCTAAAGTAAATGAAGTAACAAAGTTGAAACTTTATCGTATCAAGATGTATTTCCTGTGCCATTTAAGGGATTTCTGGGAAACTTAAATAAAAAAAATAAAAGAATTGAGATGTTTTCTGTGTTGCTTGGGATCTGCACTTAAACTATTCACACTCAAGAAATCCAGAAGAACATAACCACTAAGACACTGTTATAATTATCCATTTTTCTCCACAAACATATTTCTGAACACTAGCACCATAGAGGTAACTCTAAGACTAGAAGGTCCCGAAATAACGTGCTCAACCTAGGGGTAGTACAGCTTGATCTGAAGTAATATTTGTTGTAAAAATTGCTCAAATTGGTAATTATTATAATTTTTAGTATAAATATTAATGATATTAGCTGTCAAGCGGAAAGCTTAAAAGTAAAAATTTAACAGTGTAACTTTAACGCATACACTCAATGACATTTCACCGTTGTTGTTTATGTTTACTGCAGTTTTTTGTTTATCATCATTTTTGCCAAGATTTTCGTTTTCGATAGCTCTGATCGATTTCAACTTCGGCTTTTCATGATAAAAACGGTACTGGAAGTTCCCCCAGCAGCAAATCTCTCCAAGTTGCAGGCTCATGGCGAATCGAGCGTAATACCACCACGGAACCATCACTCTGGGAACGGAAGTGCGGCCGATTATGTGCACTGAGATCAGCTACCAAATAATGCCGAATTTATTAGAAAAGGAGCGGATTTTGATGGTGGTGGCCAGCAAGATCATCGAGGAATGACTTGCCTCTCGTGTGAAATCCATTTTTGATTAAACGAATGTCAAATGTACACTTAAAACCAAAAATAGCCAAAAACAAAAAAAAAACAACTGTCAGACTAAGTATAAGATTCACAAATATTACACATATTAGAATATTTAATATTTCCACCATCGGTATTGATGCTGATACTTGGAGCGGTCCTTCACCTAGTGCTCAACTTTTTGGCTCAGCTCTGGTACTCTCTTCGGTCCCAAGCTAATCGATTCACCCCTCGAAACATATGAAAATCCACTAACCCCTCATTTTATCTGTCAAACTTTCATAGCGAATCAAGTAGTACTATAATTTCGACTAGAATGGAGTACGTTAATCGTTTGCTTGGGACCAGTAGGCTAGTGAAGTAGTGAGCCAATATAAAATCGTTAGTTTCATATTGATTGTTGCTAGCACCTAGCACGATCATTGCAAAAATGATTCCGAATTAATAGCGGTAGGCTCCATCAAGGATAATACGTGATTTGACCTAGATTTTCAAAAAATCTAGATTAAATTTTAGTACCCCGTTCAGTACAAATCAAAAGGAAATTGGTTTGTTTAGGGGTATTGACAAGGGGTGGTCACTCTACACACTTATTTTGTGCCAACATTTTTCTCAGTGTACCTCAGTGTGCCGCAGCTGTACAGGCAGTGTCAAGAAGTCATTGAACTGACTTTTGTTTGCTTGTGAATAATGTCTTGTTTGGCAACCCGGTATTTGAACAGCTCTTGTTTTTGTTTTGTTTTTCAATGTTTTCAAAAACGACATTGACTCCAGTTGGTACTACACACTGGCTGCATCCATCTTCAAGGATGCCTGCAACTGACGAGCTCCGTTGCTACACGATCCTTCCGGCGGAAGGCCGACCCCGCACAACGAACGTCAATCATTAGTCAACCAGCCCTTCTGGGAGTCGGCAAAGGAAACATATTTGCACCGATTTTTTTACCGCCCGAGTATCATCCGTCGGAAAACTGGAAACCAACATCGGCCGGACCACACGTCGGACTGACGAAGGGCCGGACCCGATGACCCGAAACGGACCATCCAACTTCATTCAACCGGCACAGCAACAGGGCGCAGTGATGATAGTCTACGGACTCAGTACCGCCACGGTCCAGATGGGAGACGCCATCGCAGTCGAACGCAGCATCCAGCACTTGAACAACATTGAAATAATGGAAATGATGTTAGCAAAATTCAAATAGCATTTTCCAAGCAGAACTATATGCCAGAGTCCACCAATCCGTATACTCTGCCGGACAATTGAATCATCTTCAAGGTGTACAGCACCTCCAAGAACAATCGTTTCCATTCCCGAGCAAGTTTCTCCACTTCTTCAATATCCCACCCGGTATGTCCGAGGATCTGCTTCTGACTGCATTCACCACCAAGAACTGCGCAAGTGCGAATGTTCCCGCTGAAATCGGAACGTTCCTCCTTCGGATTGATCGAGTTCCCGAGCGAAGCCCTGGCGGTGTACGCCATCATGAAGTGCAACCACAGCAATCACATCGATCACAAAGGCACGAAATTCCCGTTAATGAGAATGATGATGATGAAGCTGTGCTTTTCCTCCTCCAAGTCTATGAACGGTGCGTGGAGCAACGAGAACATCGAAAACATTATATATTGGCCGATGGAATGGTTGGTGTAGCAGCCAACGCCATAGATGTATTCGAGCAGTTCGAATGGTCGGATGGTATAGTTTTTGTTTGGTTGTTGACTTTCCGATTAAAACTCAAGCACCGTTTGTCGTGACCGGCCCAAGATTTCCAGCGTCGGCCACGGCTACACGAATTAGCGCTGCAGCTCCCACGGCGGCGGCTGCTTCCAATGCTGCTGCTGCTGTTCCTTCTGCTGGTCCGTCTCCTCCAAAAGTCGTCAGAAAAGACGGACCAGCAGCAGCATTGGAAGCAGCCGCAGTCGTGGTACCTCGGTCAGGTCAAGATACCGATGTCAGCAGTTCTTCGTTTAGGAGGAAATGTGGACGCAACTGCCGTCACGGGTGTAACGATTGTGAGAATCCATGGTGAGACTTTGTTGAGATTCACGGTTGTGTTTTGAAAATAATTTGATTATATTGCGGCAACATCAATAGCAAATTTTGACACATGCAAACTGCGCAGACGCAGAAAAATTTAAGTGTTGCCAGTAGCTTTAAAGATCATAAAAAATTGTAACTATGGGTGCCAAATAGTTCCAATGACTGCACCCGGGTGTGCCCAAGTTTGATTTTGACACACTGTGTAGAGTGACCAACCCCTTGGGTATTGAGGTAAATACATATTCGTTATCTGCATTAAAAATGGAACCGAAATCCAAAATTTCATACATTTTGGTACACTGGAACTATTTTAAATGAGTACG